TGTATTGGTTTGTTTGCAGTCAAGACGAGCGGTGTCTTCCAGTCCTTCCGGCCGAATCATTTGTTTGGAGCATCCTTTTCGTACACAGAAAGTCATAGAAAGCGGCGTCAACCCCGATTACCATGACCTCGTTAGCCGATCCGTTTCGGAATTCATGACAGATCTCAAAGGCAAACTTAGCGACTATTGAATATACGCTACCAATGCTCTGATTTGTCAAGCTATTCCATATTTCAGTCGACGCTGAGCTTGGATTTTGGAGTGCGCTATTCATCTACTTCGAAAAAAGTGATGAACCGATGTTTCCGAATCTAGAACTTTTGACCAGTTTGTGTTTAGCGCTCAACTGATTGAGTTACCAGGACTGTTATACCGTATATCACTGTGAGTCAGTAGTATCGTTTTACTTTTGACGATGTTAGTTTCTTTCGCTTGGTTTTTGAACTACCTTTTTTTAGGTAATCTGGCATTATGTTTGGAAGGTTTCTTGTAAGTAAACTATTCTTCTTTTAACTTAGCGTATGTTTCTTAAATCCATCAATTGCAGATCCGCTGTTTTTCGACTGATGTTGCCAGGATGCCGTTAGTAAAGGTATGGTCTGGCTTAATCTGATTCTTTGGCATTGTGTTGTAGTTTTCGCTTGGTCTGTCATGTGACTGCTATGCTAATGCAAATTGTTATTTCCCTAAGGGCGTTGCTGAGGAGTAATGCCACAAGGACGGCAATCGGTCTTCATACCAGACGAGCGGATTTAATTTCTAAGCGACATATAAATGTTGCTTATTTCACCTCTAGTTACTTTGAGCAACGAATTCATCTCACTTAGATACGAGGCAGTCATCTGACTTGTGGATAGCAAGAGGATAGCCTGCCAGCAACTGTGACTATCCCCCCCCCAATATGAACGTGATAATGTTTAAACCATTGAAATGTTAGTTTGCCTTACACTTTCATGATAGGGCCATTTTTGCCGCCCTTCGTTTCTTCAATTTTCTAGTATGGTGTTGAGTCTACAACTATGCCACAAGTATGGCGGGTAGATTCCTGTTTCCTTGCGACACATTGATACTCATTGATCAGCAAGAAAGCGAGTGATTCGATCGGGTCCAGAACCCGGAACCTCTGAGTTCTAAATCCAACTTTTTACCGACTGAGCAGCCCGGGTCTAAGTTTGCTGTTGAAAGACTGCTCGACTTCTTACGTTTTAACTTTACTTCTTACACAGTTCTGTTCTTTAGTGTCCGATTCCTGTCACTGGTGTGCATGGACGATATGCCGCTGCGCTTTATTCGGCCGCTGTGAAATCCAAATCACTGGAAAAAGTAGAAACCGAGATAAAGGATATACAGGTAAGGGCGCTTCATTAGTTTGATCTGATTGCGACTGATTGCAGAACGAGTTCTTGAAAGATCCGGGCTTTAAGAACTTCATCGTAGATCCGTTTGTTAACAAACGGGAGAAAAAGAAAGCCATCGTTCAAGTTCTACAGAAGCTGAATGCCATGGATATTACCCAGAGATTTTTTGGTATAGTCTTAAACTTATTGCCGGCTTTGTTCGTTTTAAGTTGAACGCAGGTTGCAAAGCACCCAGTCGTTGTTTTTCGACTTCCTTCCAATTGTCCCCTTTCCATCTTATCTTATTTTATGCATTTGTGAACCTTTGCTCTTATTAATATATTGTCGGCGTGCCAGCCAAATCCGTTTTGATATTTTATTGTTTATCAAAATTTTTGATGCTGTAGGGTACTGGCATTGCATTGAATAACTTCCGTAAGTGTTTATATTTATGTAATATGCAATCATTTGCGAAATATTTGTGGTTGCTCTGATAATCGCCTTCACCCGTCTAAGTTTGTAAAATGTTTCTGTTGTGTGAAGTCCATTACCCCAGCTTTTCATCGTTATTGTTTCAAGGCATCGATTACAGCGTCGGAAGGAACAAATCCTCACCGACAACAGAATTTCTCCTCTAATTAATCACGATACATGTCTTCCTTTCGGTCGGGATCGGTATAGTTTTGGTTACCGTAAGGAAACGCTGCTTGCCAGGGTGAAGTGGTTGTACCCATCCAATTGTTCAGACGGGCCAACTATTTTCTTACTCATTTTGCAAAGGATACTTGAAGATGTTAGAATATTTCCGTACGTAGTCCTACTATTAATACTATTAATTACTGGTCAAAACCATAGCCACTTCACGCTATTCCACGACTATTCTTTCGTTGAAATGTCGGTTTCAGATACGGTCATGTCTCGACACCGACCTGGCTGAGGATAGTAGAAGCAAATTTATGTGGAAGGGTGTGTTCTTCTCTCCTTCCAAATAATGGACTTCTGAAATC